GTTGCCTAATAATTATGCACAGTAATAATAACCTGCACACACAGATATCCTCCTAAAATAGCTAAAACTAAAAAAGCCCCACTCCAACTCCCCAAAATATTCAGCTTTGATATTGAGTCTTTTGGGTTCATTAAGAACATGGTTGTTGTTCAATAATAAAATTAATCCTCAAAAATACAACTTGCCTAATAATTCTGCACTCCCTGTATATTATCACCATTTTACGTTACATTGAAATTATATTAAGACATGTTTTATATATATATTTAAAGCACTGTACCATATACATACATACATATATATTATAGTTGGTAATTATTAAATCCTATTTGATGAAGATTGAGTTTTATTTCTGTTAAAAACATTAAAACCTGATATTCATAACTTTTTCTAAAATCAAATACTTTAAACAACCTGTGGAATATTTCATAAATGGTCATTTTTCTTGTATAATTAAAAATAATAACAGCTGTTATAAATATATTTATATATATATGTTTAAATATATATTTATATTTCTGTATTACTTGCTGTTGCTGTACGACTGCTTTAAACGTTACTTCACCAATGCTGCAGAAAAAACAAAAATATTTTCCTTATTGTCAGTAAATATATTTATTCCATAATTTAAACTGAAAACCAGATAATCGTCTATTTTTACGCTAAGTTCTAATCTAAGTGTAAACGCAGAAGTAAAATACACAAGGTACTACTGTTTACAAGGTACTTTTTATATTTTAAAAACATTCACCAGGTTAAATGTAGGTTTTGCAGTGAAAAAATTCGTTATTATAATTAAATTAATATTTTCTCCATCAGTTTAAAAACAAACAGTCAGTTCATGTCAGTCTAAAATAATTTATTCCACATGAACAGATCGCAGTCACAGTTAATGGAAAAAATAAATTCTTAAAATAAATAAAATCTCACAGCGGCTCTGATTGTGATTTAGCTGACGCTGCAGCGCCACCTGCTGTCAAGTAAAACATACCACCGGCCTCTCAAAGATCAATTTCAACAAGTCTGAAGGATTTAAAACATTGTCGGGATTTTACATCAACACAGGCTGGAAAAAAAAAATTAATTTGACATGAATTAACGTTTCAATCACACTATCAGTCAGAAGAAAAATAATAGGTTCATATTTTTAAGTCCAATGCTAAAATTGTTAAACTATACAACGGCATGAAAAACAATATAAAAATATAAAAACGTTATATTTTACCTATATTTACTTTATTACTCTCTGCTCTCATTCATATTTACATCGAGTCCAATCCAAAAATAATGAAACAAATATATAAATATACATATAAAAGAAATGAAAAATTCAGAAAGAAAAATGTAACAGGTGAATTTGAAGGGTTAAACCGTGGTTTTTATCTCACAATCGTCTCGACATAATTTTAGTTTTATTGCATATTTCATGTATTTTTAGGCATTTTTTTGGTCAGAGTTAAGGTGAAAACAACAACGTTTTAATATTTAAAATGTCATCAGCGTTGTTTTTATTTCAAAGGTTAAATTTCATTAAATTATATTTTGTAAATTCATTTTCTTGTAAATTAATCTTTTTTAATTAATCTCTGGTTAAAAAAGATTTTAAAAAAAAACATCATTTTGAAGTGTCCACATCTTCTGGAAACACTAAGACGGACCGGAAGTACAGACCTGATCTGAGGTCAGATGTCTTTCCTGTTGAACCATGACATCACAGTTTCACCTGAAGGCTCCACTGGAGGACCAGAATCTGGAGAGTCTGTGACTCAGAGTTTGTCTGGACCGACCATCACCTCCTGGATCTGTTTGTTGAGGTCAATGATGATCCTGTCCTGGTGGGTGTAAACCCCCGTCCTCAGCAGAGTGTCCCTCTCCTCCAGTAAACGGCTCAGCTGGTCCTCGGCACTCTCGTTCAGGTGGGGGACGGGGACGGACACGGCAGAGGCAGCGACACATCTGTCCTGCTGCTTTAATCTGGGGGGAAAATAACGAGTGGGTGGGTCTTGGAACGCAACTACTGGGATAGGACAGGGACTACTGTACATATATACACACACACATATAGATATATACACAACTATATAAACATATATATATATACTTTTTTAAAATTTATCCAATCTGGAATAAAAGACATCGTTTTCAGTCATTTACAGCAAATGTCTTTTTCAGAGTTAAAATTTTTTTCCGACGATCAAAATAGTGGTTTAATCAAATTGTTTCGCTAATCCTGCGTGTTTTCAACCTGAAGAATGTGTGTGTGTGTATATATATAAATATATACATACATGCATATATACGCACATATACATATATACACACATACATACACATATATACATATACACACACACACACATATACACACATATATACATACATATATGCGCACATATACACACATACATACACATACGCACATATACATACACATATATACATATATGCACACATATATACACACATATACGTACACACATACATATATACATACATATATAGATACATATAAACTCAAAGCTGAGTGGCAGAAAAAAAAATTCTTTCCTCTCACCTGTTGAGTTCATTCCTTATTTCGTCCAATTCCTGCTTGTCTTGTTGCCCCGCCTCTTTTTCTCCCGTTGCCAGGTAACGCTGCCTCATGGCCTCTAGCTCCGCCTGCTGTTTCTTTAGGTGCATCATAGTGTTTTCCTGCTCGCGCTGCACAAACACACAAGCACACACAAAAAAAAAAATTCAGGTACGTTTTGGACATCGTCTGAATCTGCTGTGCTTCACAGTGACCACTAGGGCGGGCGGTTTTAGCTGCACAGGCAGCCTGGTGTCATTTGTATCATATACTGTACAAATCAATAATCAATACTGAAAAAAAAATCATATTGTCAATCGGAGGATTTGAACACTGCAGACGTGTTTTATCCAATCACAGAGCAGCTCAAAGTAATAGGGATCTCCTATTGGCTGTTTTGACCAACCAGCTGCCTGTACACGCTTTTCACTGAAAAAAAAAAGTACTTTTACGTATTTATTAGACGCCTTTATCCAAAGCGACTTACAGAGGAGGACTAACGGTATCAAGGATGTGGTTCCTCTGGGAATCGAACCCAGGACTCTCTGCTCTTTGCTTCCGAGGCAGACTTCCTTTGTTTTCGTGTGAATGTTTTCATTAAACGCTCATGAATCTCCATTCCTCCACGTGAGTCCGGCTCCGCGCAGCTCCGCTCTGAGGACGTTTCAAAAACAAACCCCTGACCTTGGTGCTGAAATATCCGCGCTCCGAAGCCAAGTATCCGTTGTTTGCTTTTGTAATTATGCAGTCTGACGTTCGGTAATGAATTTGTCTGGATTCACATTTTCAGAAAAACCTTCCTGAGAAAAATGCTACGCAACGAGTGGAGAATTCACACACGGACCAACGTCAACACCGTGGGAACAGAAAGAAAACATGGAGAAAAAAAAAAGAGTCAAAGTCGTATTTCTCTCATCTGCTCATACCAACAGTGCCTCCGCAGGCTCTGTGTTAATAAATCCTCCGGTGTCTGAGCGGGGGAAAAAAAAAAAAAAAAAAAACCCCCTGCAGCTACACATGACAAGGTTTAGGACCAGTTCGCACAAACCATTCAAACACCTCCGGTCAATTTCGAGTCGACAATGAATCGAATCGTGTTTTCGGGGCGTACAGTACGTGTGGAGAAAGAAACCACAGATCGAACAAACAACATTTTTAGCTATGAGGCAAAAGCAACCAACCGCTGCTCCAACATGCTGACCGACAAATACGATGTGAGAGGAACAACGGCACGCAGAACGTCCTGTTTCTGGGACAGCATCGCAATGAGTTCTCACACTGGAACCGACTGATAATTAATAGAAAAACAGTTAAACGACATGTCCCCGTGCACGCACACGCACACACACACTCCATTTTTTCCCAAAGTCAGGATCGCAACCCTCAAGTGGGTCGCAAGAGGTTTTTTTGGGGGGTCGTTTTGCATCATGTTTCACAGGAGTTTAGGAATAATGTCTATTGACTTGGGTTGCGAAGGTTTTTAAAATATGGGTCCCCAGAAAAAAAAATTCTGGGGAAACACTGCCTTACCCTAACTTAAACCACACACACATACAGTATATACACATATATACATATATATACACATACATATATATCTATATATGTATACATAGGTGTATACATATATACATATATACACATATATACATACATATATACACATATACATACATATATATACACATATACACACATATACATACATATACATATATACACATACATATATACATATATACATACATATATACATATACATACATATATACATATACTATATATATATATGCTAATCCTTCAACTCCTTTATGATCCTCAAAATACAGTCACACTCAGTTTGGATCTAAAAATGTCCCCATGAGGGGACCAAAAAATTGGTATTATCCAAAAGCTACTTCACTGTACCAGGCACACACACACAGAGCTTCCACTTTCACACGTCTGATCTCCTCACCTCCTGACAGAGAAAAAACACCAGAAAACACACAATCTCTCATGAACACATCATTCACACGTGTACACACACACACATCCACAGATGGTGTGTTGACACAGCCCAGCTCTGTGGACCATTAGCCGTCTGTATTTCAGGCCGTTTTCGGGCTAATTACTATAAAAACAAACAGACTAAACATTTTCTCACACACACACACACACACTCATCTCCAGCACGAGATTAAAAACCTGCGCCGACACAAAGAAACTGCTCTGCTCCACTGTACGATGTTCATCGATCTGCGGTTTCTTTTTTGTTTGTTTTTTTTTACCCGATGGTTCGTGTTGACATAATGCGGAAATTTTTTTACAATTTCACAAATCACTGCGATGGACATTTAAATATCACAAAAAAAATTGGTTTAAAAATATATATCGCCATGTCTATAGTATTGCAATATATCGCAATATATCATATCGCTGCCCTTGTGTCGTGATACATATTGTATCGCGAGTTTCTAGCTAGTACACACTCCTAATAAGGTATGTACCATACACGTATACATGTACCAAGAGTTGTACCTGTTTAAAGCGGGCCAGTTCTTTCAGGGCTCGTCCCCACTGCTGCTTGTAGTGGAGCTTGGACTTGGAGGTGGACTCCAGCTTCCTCTCCAGTTCCACTTTAACAAACACGACAACATTTTTACTTACAGTTATCGGATAACAGGTTTTTATACTCACAAAATGTGTTAACAGTTCAATCAAATATACCGTATTTTCCAGACTATAAGTCACTCCGGAGTATAAGTCGCACTAGCCTAGCTAGAGTGCCCTCTAGCGGGCGTCAGTGGGAAAATCAGAAACGTGAAATTATATATTTTAATATATAGGTCGCTAATCCAGACAAAGGATAAAAAAAAATGTGCGACTTATAGTCCAGAAAATACTTGTAGTACTCAGCAGTACCACTCAACATCCGTGGTTCACCTTCTCCAGGGTCAGCAGGTTGACCTCTGACTGCAGTCTGAACTCCGGCCTGATGTTCTGCTGTTCCCTGTAGACCTGGAACTCCTTCTCCAGCTGTTTGTACCGCGACTCCCCGTCTAAAATCTGCGCCACGACAAACCAATCACGTCGTCAAAATGTTTGACAACGTTTTTTAAAAGTCACCATCGACGATCCTCCGCCGCCCCCGGGAGGGGGGTTGAGGTGGGCTTCGTACCTGCTGCAGCAGTCGGCTCCTCTCCTCCTCCATCAGTCGAACTTTTTCTCTCTCCAGCGCCACGCGCAGGTCACACTCCTGCTGCAGCCTCCTGCCGCTCTCCTTCAACTCCCTCAGCGAAAGCTCGTGTTCCGCTCTCAGGTCCTTCTGTAACCTCTGAGTCTGGACACACAGACGCAAAAAAAACCCCCACAGTGAAGTACTCAGAAGTACTCACAGACAACATAAATACTTCATTCTGGTGAATCACTGTATATATATATATTTCTCTGCAGAGGTTTTTTTTTTTTTGTGGCTGTGGTTTTATTGTTGCACTGACCCACAGTCAGCCCTGACGACTGTGTTGTTACTGACAGCTTGGTGTGAATGTAAAGGCTGATTCTCATTGGAGCACGGCTTCCAATAACATCAGATGAAATTTGATTTTTTTTTAACATGTTTTAGTACTTTACCACTGTCCTCTGAGGGGGAATTACTCTCTGTTTCTAACCCATCCATGAAACACAGAGACGGACCAGCTGTGGGTCAACCCTTCTCTTCACTGCAGGCTTTGATGAAGACATGACTGGGGTATGACAAAATCTAATTGAAAATTAGATTCTAATTGATTCCGCTTAGTAACGCTCTTGTTTCACGTTCACGGCAAACAAGTGTTTAGCTGGCTAATTGCGCACAGAGAATGTCTTAACGCATAACGTCATTTCCGCTTTGTGACGGAGCGCTCCCTGCGCTCTCGAGCCCGAGCGCGAGCCGCCGGTCGGGGCATGTCACACGCTTCTATCTGTAACAGCAGCGTACACGATAAACAGCCCGGTAACAGTCGCCGTTCTTTTTGCGCTTGATCATGACATTCGTGGTAGAAAGTACGATAGATGGCAAGCGCAAAGGCGACTGCTGTCTGGCTGTTCAATACACGCCGTGCTGTTGTTACAAGCGTGAAGTGCACGAAGCTGGTGTAGCTTAGCCTATCCCCGACAAGGGACGGCGCGCGGGAGCTTGCTGATTGGCTCTTCGGAGGTCCAGTTTCTCCACGGGCCACACTAACAGTATACTTTAATATTAAGGTGCGGGCCACAAAATATTGTACTGCGGGCCGCACTTGGCCCCCGGGCCGCGAGTCTGAGACCCCTGCTCTATAGGATTGAGGTCTGGGCTTTGACTCGGCCACTCCAGAACATTTACCTGGTTCTTTTTTAACCAGTCCTGTGTAGCTTTTGCAGTATGCTTCGGATCATTGTCTTGCTGGAAAATAAATCTTCTCCCAAGCCGTAGTTCTCTTGCAGACTGAATAAGATTGTCCACCAGGATTTGAGTGTATTTTGCAGCGTTCATTCTGCCCTCTATCTTTACAAGCCTTCCAGGTCCGGCTGCTGAGAAACATCCCCACAGCATGATGCTACCACCACCATGCTTAACAGTGGGGATGGTGTGTTTTTGGTGATGTGCAGTGTTTGGTTTCCGCCAAACATGACGTCTTGTCTGATGGGCAAAAAGCTCGATTTTGGTCTCATCAGACCAAAGAATCTTCTTCCACTTGACCACGTGCTTTTTGGCAAACTGTAGTCGAGATCTAATATGACTTTTCTTCAACAGTGGCTTTCTCATTGCCACTCTCCCATAAAGCTTTGACCGGTGAAGAACCCGGGCAGCAGTTGCTATATGCACAGTCTCTCCCATCTCAGCAGCTGAAGTTGTAACTCCTTCAGAGTAGTCGTAGGGGTCTTGGTTGCTTCTCTCACTAGTCTCCTACTTAGTTTACGAGGGCGGCCTGATCTAGGCAGATCCACACAAGTGCCATATTCCTTCCATTTCTTGATAATGGATTTCACTGAACTCCGGGGGATGTTCAATGCCTTGGAAATGTGTTTGTATCCATCCCCTGAATTGTACTTCTCAATCACCCTTTCCCTGAGATGCTTGGAGTGTTCTTCTGTCTTCATGGTGTAATTGTCACCAAGAATACTGATCCACCAGTCTGGACCATTCGGACACAGGTGTTTTATACCTCAATCACTTGAAGCACACCCACACCACTCAGGTGATCTTCATTTCACTAATTGTGAGACTATTGGCAAGAATTTGGACCTCTATTGAATTAGACCATTAACTTAAAAAGGGGGTGATTAACTATGCAAACAATTATATTTCTTTATATATTTTTATTTCATTGACATTACTTTGTAGAAATCTGTTTTCACTTTGACATTAAAGAGTTTTTTCCAATAAATGTTTGTGTTAAAAAAGCCAAATTGTATTGACCATGATTGATTTATGAAAGCACTAAAAGGGTAAAACATCCAAGGGGGTGAATACAGTAAACCCTTGTTTTTCGCGGGGGTTACGTTCCAAAAAGAACCCGTGATAGGCAAAATCCGTGAAGTAGAAATCTTTATTTTTTTTACAATTAAATACTCAGAAAAAGAAGAGAAAGAACGAACAAACCATTTTACAGTCTCAACCATTTGTTTCACAAATAAAGTAAAATAAAAGTACTTTAGAAACGTTTCAACAAATAACTTCTGTAATGTACTGTCAAATAATAATTTTAATCATCAACGTGAACAGAAGGCTTCAAATTGCGGAGATTAGCACCGCCCACCGTGAACGGGAGAAAATTAAAAATGATTATGAAAAAAATACAAATTACCTGGTCTTGTTGCGGGCAGTTGCAACCCTTTTTGAATCCTTATTAAAACTTATTGCTGCTGTCTTCCTTATGTTTTTTTCTTCCTTCTTTATGGAACGAACGGAAGATTCATTAATTCCATAATGCCGACCTACAGCCGCATAGCTTTTACCTTCATTTAGCATGTCCAATAGTTTTACTTTATCACCGATAGACAGCATCTTCCGCTGCCTTTTGGTCCCTACCGCAGGTACTTTTGCCGGTCCAGAGCGTTTTGTCGACATTATGGGGTTTGATAAACTCGAAATTGCAAGAGAATTTGCACGTACGTAATGTCAATTTGGCAAGCTGTTTTACGTACGTGTACATATTAAACCGCAACGTTATTGGCGCACAGGTAGAGAAGAAGCGGAGTGACTTTTTAGCCAATCAGAATGCAGAACACAATGCACGATGCAAATCCGTGAAGTAGCGAAACCGTGAAAAGTAAACCGCGTTATAGCAAGGGATCACTGTATACGTATATGTGTATAGACATAAATATATATAGATAGACAGACAGTCAGACAGACAGACCTTCTTCCTGACCACGGCCTCTCTCTCTCTGTCTCTCTTCTTCCACTCCTCAGCCAACGCCTGCATGTGACTCAGCTCCTTCTTCTTTAACTATAAAGAAACGTGTCATCATCATAACGCATCATAAATCCCAGTGAACATAACGGAGCAGAGACCGCCTCCTCCAGCAGAGGGCCGACAGTTCCAGTCAAAGTGTCCTGTGTCCAAGGTTTGTACCTGATCGTCAAACAGGTCCACCTGCTCCTCCTTCCACAGCTCCAGCTCCAAGGCCGCTCGATACTCCATGGTCTCTCTGGGGGCTGTGGGGCCCAGCAGTGGAGCTGGGTGGCAAAGGGCAGGGGCTTTGGGTGACAGAGGGTGAGAGGGCAGTTGTGCGGGGGCAACAGATTCAATCTAAGAGAAAAGAAAGACACATCGTCAGCATAGCAGTGACATTGATGATGTGACCTTAGAGAAAAACAGCATATACATACATAAATACACATATACATATATAAATACACATACACATATACATATATAAATATATATACACACACACATATAAATACACATATACATGTATAAATATATACATACATATATAAATATATATATATATACACACATTTAGCCATATATACACACATGTATATGTACGTATAGTAATATATATGTACTAGTATAAATATATCATTCATATAAGTCACCTGTGAAGAGTCAGTCACAATAACCTCTTTGGCTTTGATCAGACCCAGGTCTTCTAATGTGGCCACATAGGTGACCTCTGCGACCTTCTGAGGTGGACTGAAGGACAGAGACACGTCAGGTAAACAAAGACAAACGAACGCCACCGTTGTCCTCGGTGACAGTTACTCAGAACAAACTCCTACCGCTGTGGTCTGAACACAGGTATTCTGTCCTGGTGCGTTTGTCTCCAGCTCTGTTCTCCCGATGACGTCAGAACTCGTTTCTTCTCGGAGCTCAGCAGGTGAGACAGCTGCACAGAAGCTCGTCCAATCAGCTGGTCCCTGCTGTTAGAGTCTCTGTGCCACAACTCCACCACCAGGGGAACTCTACACAAACACAGGGCTCTCACATACTGCACTGAACACAGTCCTACAGCTCCACCTAGTGACCAAAAAGGGAATTGCTTTACAAAACTTCTTTTACCATTGACTAACCAAAGATTTTATTTTATTTTATTTTGGGATGTCACCGATGACAAACAAACGTGCACTTCCCTCCCTCTGTGACTAGGTGGTGCAAATGTGTCGGTGTGTGTTCCTACCTGTGGAAGGTGTCGTGCGGTAACGTGGCAAAGTCAAAGGCACAGTAGGACTGAGGCAGCGACACCTCAATGTTCCCGTGCAGCTCCACCGGAGGGTTGGTCATGATGAGGGCAGCGCTGCCGAAGAACGGATATGAATACCTGAAAAAAAAACACACAAATACAGAGTACCGTTACTTCAACATGTGAGTATACAGTACCTGTTAGTTAAAGCCTTTGTCGGAGAAAAAAAACTGTTGTTGTATTATTTAAAGCAGGGCTCTCAAAACCGTGGTTCGTGGGTCACTTCCGATCTGCGAACCTTCAACATGTGGCCCGCTCTTACACTAGACTAGAAAAAGACTATTTGTTGTAACATTTATTAATAAAAAAAAATTTGATTAAAGAAAACAGATGTATTTCAGAATTATAAAATAATTTGTAAGGAAACATTATTTTAGGAAAACATATATGGTCCAATCAAAGCCAAAGACATTGTGACGGACTCTTAACAGGTGACTTATATGAATTATATATTTATACGCAGTACATACAGTATATATTTCTATATATGTGGTTTATATTTCTATATACTGTATGTACGTATATACATATATACGTGTTTATATGTATATGTATATATGTACGTATACGCTTGGAGCAGTACATCACGTCACTCCAGCTGTTTAGCTATTTTATTTGAAACATTAGAAATAAAATAAGTTGTTAAATTAAAAAAAAGTTTTGTTCTATTGTTTTGTTCCCTCCGTGCGGCCATTTCGCAGCAGCTAGATGTTTGTGGACACACGTGAGGTGAAGTCTCTCACCTGAGCGTAGCAGCGATGGCGTGCGTCAGGCCGAGGCCTCCCAGGCTCCGCAGGTCCAGAGAGAAGCTGAAGTGATGTGCCGACGGCGGGATGGAAACTTTAGGAGCGGAAACACTCACCGACGACACTCCACCCTCATCTCCTGCCTCCGCATCTGCTGCTGGTTACATGGACACAGACAGGGTCAACGGTTGTCCCGTGGACGTCCGGACTACAGACCTGAAACTTCCCGTCGTGTCAAATTCACCTGGTTCTTTAGAGCGATGAAGTTCCTCAAGTAAACTCTCTGCCTCGCTCTCCGTGTGGGGGTAAGTGGGAGGATAAGGAACTGGAGTAGAAGAGTCGGGAGGTTTGTGGACTGGAGAGATGCCCTGCTGACCACAGGGGGCAGCAGTAGGAGGAGGAGGGACGGAGACTGCATTGACTCCGCCCACATCTTTATTCCCCAAGATCTGAAAAAAAAAAAAGATTGACATGAGATCTTAAATCACTGATATTCTAATAGTGACTTTTCAAATAGTGGCTCAGGGGCCACATGCAGCTCAGACAAAACATCATAGCAGCCCAGTATGTGGTCATTGTAGGAATACAATCAGCACCATCGCCATGAACACAATGATGTATATATCCCATCAAACAACCCACAATGCATCAATTTTATTTATTGTTTTGTCCAGTTTATTAGCCGCAGGAAAAAAAATCAGTTTCATCTGGATTCAAAGTTCTATAGTCGTGAACAGTACTTCACCTGTGCTGGGACCCCCTCTCTTCTAAGCGCAACAGCCACGCCGATGGTGGGCTGCAGGTCGGCGGGCAGAACCGGTAAACTTTGTTTGGTTAGCGTCGGAGGTCTGAGCACAAACACCCCCTCGATCGTCGCTGCCTTGTTTTCCAGATGGACGGGAAGAGCAGAGAGTGCCGACAGAGAGAGGTCGGTGCTGCCCAGAGAGTGGTTCCCACAGCACAGGTGGATCTGAGGACACGGCAGGACCTTTGACGTGATGGCACGATGGAGCAGCGACAACGACGCGGTATAACGCATCACGCCATATTAGACGTCTGAGCCCTGACCTGTAAACTGGGCTGGTGAGACACGAAGGACAGCAGGATCTGTTTCCTGCTGCGGATGCGGACGGAGGCACGCTCCGGCTCAAAGTCAGGACTCAGCAGGTTGTGGAAAGGCTCGCTGGTGATGTCGTTGCCCAGCAACGAGTAGTAGAAGAAGAAGTCTGAACCTTCAGCGGACAGCTTCGTGGTGCTGGGCATCAACTGTGAGGAACGGGGAAAATCAGAGTGTGACCTGACTGTTAGCTGTTAGCTGTCACTGAAATGCATCATGGAAATATCAAATATATAATACAACACTTTTGAATTGAAATTACAAATTAACCAGCCTTTGTAAAGATTACATTATTTCAAAATCTTTTTTTTTTTTAATTTCTAAAACAATGATGGTTGGCAATTGTGTGATAATTTAAAAAAAATATATATATATATATCAAACCTGTTCAAGTTTGGAGGCAAAGGCAATGGTGACGGACAAGATGAACATGTCACTGCAGAGATCAGAAGGTCCAACCTGGTGGTAACCCTGGTCTGGGATCAGTACGGCCTCCAAGGTTTCTGGAAGTAGATCCGTTACAGCAGGAGAACCTGGAAGGAAGTTGTAGTGAGAAGAGATTCAACAAGTACCACAACCACAGCTGTGGAAGTGATCACCTGATATTTGATGACTTGTTTTGTTTGTTTTGGTTGTTGACAATGAGACTAAAGAAAAACATAGAAACCACCGCTGGAGGAGAAGCCGACCTTGTTGAGGTGGAGCCTTCCTGGCCTTGAATCTGTCGGGAGAGGGTTCCGTGGCTTTGCTGTCGTTCTCCAGTGAGACTCCAACGAGAAGTGCGGGCTTCTGTTTCGTGTATTTGCTGCTCAGCAGCGGACACCAGCGAGGCTCCTGGTGCAGAAACACAGAAAACATATTTCATAAGTAGATCAGGATCTACACGTAGATTTCAGAAGAAGTGCTTGTAGAACAAGAGCAATTTCATTTTAAAAAACATCGCTTCCGTAGCGGTTAGCATGCCTGCCTTGGAAGCAGAGAGTATGGGGTTTGATTCCTAACCCTAACCAATGCAACATTTTTTTGTTTTTTAATAATTCAAACTATAGATGTAATTCTATTTTAAGATGCTAATCACTAGTGCTAATGTTAGGCTCGTGTAAGTATTGAGTCAGAAAGTACTATATATGTATATATATATAATGAGATTATATGAGTTTATATGCGTAAATATATATTTATATGATCACTTTAGCCTGGTCATTTAAAAAGTAGCGCCGAAGACAAAAAAAAAGTGTGGACACTCGTGTCTACTAGTTAGTGATGGAAAGACCGACTCTTTTTACTGATCCGAATCTTTGACTCTCGAACAG